ATATTTATTCACCCAAACCATATTTGGTATCAATGTTATACCTAACACAAACCATAAATCACAAGTTCACAAGGGATTTCCAGTCACCACTAAATGTAGATACTGTTTTTTTTTCCTCCAATCAAATGTCAATTTAACCATTGGATTTGGTATTTTCTATTCCATACCAGAAATACATTTTACTATGAATCACATATATCTTCATACAGAGACTACAATTTATATTTCACAGTCCATCTTATCTCTCGCTTTTCCTCTGTCTGTCTGCGTGTCTATAATTCAATAATACACATATATACTGAGGCAATTAAACTTCTGCAAAGGGCATATGATCACATGATAACCGATTGTTTCTAGCCCTACGAGAAACCGAGGAAGGTTTAATCATGTTCCCTTGAATGCTGATAAGAATTTAATATTTTATATGAGTGCAAAACAAAGAAAGAAGTGAAAGCCTCCTTCAGATGCTGTCATTCAGCTCAAGGTCAGGGACTTAAGAGGGAGGCATGGTTCAACAACTGCTAGTCAGTTTCTGAACAGAGTTCAATTTCCAAAGTTCATGATGAATTTTGTATAATAATTGAAAATAACGGCACTTGACATGTTTTACACATATTTTACCTTGTGCCAGCCTTTTAAAGGCCATTTCCTTTTCTTCAGCATGAATCCTTCATGTTTGTCTGGCTTCTGGACATTAGTCTGGCCAATTTTCAAGCCTTCTATAATTTCCCAGCTGTCTGGCTCCTGAATAAAGGTGGGGAGAAGAGAAGGGAACAGAATCAAATAGATCAAAATTTCAGTTTCGTAGTGCCTATTATTCAAGCTGGTTTGGCAACCCAGACAGTATACATTTGCATAAAATCTATCCCGCTGAATTCAATAAGAGTGCCTTTAGTTAGCAAATAAATAAGAAACCTGATATTACATAAACCACATTGAGAAGAAGAACATTCCAGAAGTATATGCTAAGAAAATTACTAAGGGAATTCAGATTAAACTATATACCCCTAGGAGGTGCCAATTTTGACAGCATCTCATTCCATTCATAATTAATTGTGGCTAAAATCTCCATAGTTCTATTTGGGCTTAGTTCTTTTCCCAAAAAAATGTTTGGAAGAAACCTGGATGGTATGCACATATCTGAAGTTGTAGCAAGCAAACATGATATCCATTTGCAAATGATGTACCTAGCATAACTGCTGGGTACATCAAGGCACAATTATTCTAGGAGCAATATTTCAAATTGTAACCATGTTCTTTGATTTGAAACAAATGATGAGGGCTGATCCGAAGCATTCTACTTAGCAATAATTATCAAAATCACACTACTCATCATGTTCAATCCCTTAAGTTTTTATAATAGAAGAGAAACTTGTAAACAGCACTTTTATGCATTACTGATGTAGTATAGGAATACATTAAAGGATTGTGTTATGCTGAATTCAGTCTTCAGTAAAAGGTATTTCATTATATACCTTGCAGTATTTATATACAAAATTATTCTCAAAATATCATGCAGGTAGTCTTCAACTCACAACCACAATTGAGCCCAATATTTCTGTTGTTAAGTGAGGCATTTGTTAAGTGAGTTTTGCCCCATTTTGCAACCTTTCTTGACACATTTGTTAAGTGAATCACTGCAGTTGTTAAATTAGTAACACAACTGCTAAGTGAATCTGGCTTCCCCTATTGACTTTGATCATGTGAACCCAGGACAATGCAATCGTCATAAATATGAGTCAGTTGCCAAGTGTCTGAATTTTGATCACGTGACCATGGGGATGCTGCAAGGTCGTAAATGTGAAAAACAGTCGTAAGTCACTTTTTTCAGTGCCACTGTAACTTCCAAGCAACTGAAGCAATCAATTAACTCACCGAGGATCTGAGCTGAAAAGGATGAAGCTAGACATGGTTCCAATCACGGTTCTCACTTAACGGTTGGATTATGTTAATGACAGCAACAGGGACTGCCATCACTTAGAAATGTGGTCACATGACATCATGCTTAATGACCTGTTTAATAATCAGGCACCAATTATCATTGTAATTCAAGGGTGACCTGTATGCTTCTTGTAGTTTGCTTAGTTTCATATGATTCACCTTTGTTCTTTTGCCAGGAAGAAAATGCACTGATAGTAGTCATTGTTTTTTTTCTAGTGCCAGAATGTATGACAACAGATGTACTATGTTTTCATTATATGTAGCACAGATATTTTTTTATTATTTTGTTCAATTACTAGAATAACTTTTAATTTTAAAAAGCTGTTTCTTAATCCAATCTTTCTTCCTCGTAATGCAGGTGAGAAACATATGTTTCAAGAAGCTGTAGGATATTTTATCCTTGTAGTTTTCTCCAAAGATTCACACTTTAAATATAGGGCTGAGCAACCTCTGTTAGACCTCTACAGTTATGAAATCCAGCAATTATGATTCAAGGTGGGGAAGATGGAGAGGATGGAAAGGATACAAGTAGTCCTCGAATTAGGACCACAACTAGGCGCAAAATTTCTTATTTTACGACTCTTCTTCCAACAATTGCAAAGTGAATCATTGTAGTTGTTATGTTAGTAACACAGTTGTTTAAGTGAATCTGGCTTCTCTGTTGACTTTGCTTGTTAGAAAGTTATAAAAGGTGATCACATGATCGCAGGACATTGCAACCATCATAAATATGACCAGTTGCTCAATAGTCCAAATTTTAATTACATAATCTTTTTTTTCCAATGCCATTGTAACTTTGAATAGTCACAACTGTTGCAAGAGGACTATCTGTATTAGATTCCTTAGGCACATGCAAGATCCATTACAAAATAAAAGTCCTTCAATTGAAAAAATAACTATTTTGAAAAAATACTTTATAAACATAAACTATTTATATGCATGAAATGCAATCCAGAAAATACCCTTTTAAGTTCTTTTAATATTTTTTTTAAATGCCTGTATTCTTTAAGCAAAATCTGAATCATTCACATTTATCATGAATCCTAGGATCACTATTTTTGAAGAAATGGAAGATTACCTAGAAATGCCCTCAAAACAGACCTTAATGCAAGCACTTCAGTGCTTCAGTGCTTTGAGGAGTGGCACTTGGCTTATAGTATTGCTGCAATCAAATGATTTGCCTAGTCTTACTGAGCACCTCCAATTATTAAATATGTTCTGCAACTACCTACTTATGCAGGGACCAAGATTTACTTACTTTAGATACAGCGATTGGTTCATTCTCTGACAACTGTTTCCCAATAATTAAGTCTGTGCTTCCAACAGAAGCATTTCGCTCTAACACATGACCACTCTAAAACACAAAGAAAAGACTGGAGTAAATTTTTGTCATAGAAAATACTTAGTTCTTATACATAAGTAAGATGCTTTGAGGGAATGGAAACACACTGTGTTAACACAAACAGATATCGTATCATTCCCCATGTTTATAATTTCAAAATATTTTAATATTAAACCACAGAAATGTCTTATAGTTACCCATCTGATTCAAATGGAAAGGCAAAATATACATTTATTCTAATAAACAAAATAAACAAAGTATTTTCAAATTTTAGTACTGAATGTTATTTCAATCATCATCTTAACATTCAACAGTCTTTTTCTGCCAACTTAAGGTACTATAATTAACTTTTCCCCCCTAAAATTTCCAAAATTACATTGAGTTAATATAAAATGGCTTATGTGCACAACTGTCTTGTCTAAAATACAACAGGGGATTATGTACATACTTTTCTTTTATAAAGTGAACATGTGTGAGACAAGAATTGATTCATCTGTAGGAATATTATAATTGGGCTGCAGAAATTCAGACCATCACTAACAGGACAGTCAAGATGTACAGAAAAATCTGATTCTTTCCCACATCTAGTAGTTATCTGGATTTTTGCTTCCAGATGTGGTAACTCTAATTATCACAGCAGATGCCACACATAGTAGAGAAGGTCCATTGCACTTCACAGATGGATACTTTAGGAAAAACTTGATGTAATATCTGAACACATTCAATGTAGACACTATAACAATGTGGAAATTAATTAGGTCAAAGTAAGTCAAACTCTCTCTCTGCTTGGAAGATAAACATGAGTTTGATCCTGCCTTGAGTTGAGTTGAATTAAATCTGTCAAGCACAGTACTATAAAGCAGAATAAATTTATTCTTAATATATGTGTTTGAAAGTACAAAGATTTGAATATCTGACTTGCAATGTTCTGTTGAAAGTGCTTTCTTTTAAGATGACTCACCTGTTCCTTATGAAAAGATAATTTACAGAAAATTAAAAGAGCAGAATATTGAAAATATCTTCTTTGGGTGCTTAATATTTGCATAAAGAAATCATGCTCAGTTAAAACCTCTTGAGGAAACAATTACACAAATACACAATTTGTGAAAAGAAATTTACAGAAAGTTGGCGGTTATCTAGGGGGAGGTTGACAGCAGTCTACTGGGGACACTTTAATTTGGATTTTTGCAATGAGAATAAATTGGGCTCTATGGATTATTTGATCTCTTCCACCTGTATGATTCTAGAATTACGCTGGTTAATTAGCTTCTGCCTGTTGAATGGCACCACTGGGCACAGCCCAACTGGTTTATTTATATTCTTGATCCAGGAATATTTGTCAATATTCTACCATATATAAATCTATTTTTGGACTCATTTTAAGACAATAATGCTCTATCTATCTATCTGTCTGTCTGTCTGTCTGTCTGTCTGTCTGTCTGTCTATCTATCTATCTATCTTAAACAGTAATGAGCCTGACAAGAGATAATAAAAGGAAAACAATCCAAGCTAACTGAGGTGTTCATTCTGATATGGTATACCATGATCTGGAGAATCTGATGTTTCTTATGTTTGGATGGAGCTACATTGCCTGTGTAAAGTTTGAGAATAATCTTGGATTTTCTGGTCTCATCTAGGTAGTATAAAATGAAACTATGGCCAAGAACACTTTCACTAGCTATATAGTACAATGATAGCAAATGACATCAAAATATTGTACCCGTTCATAACTTCCAGATCAGATTACAGTAATGTGCTCTACTTTATATATAGTTTAGGAATTGCAGAGTCAAAATGCAGCAACCAGAATGAAGTCTGGGGATAATAAAAGAGAATTTTATACCCTTTTCTAAGCAGTTGAACTTTTTACTTGTATTTTTGGAGAGGAATAAGTACTGGTTATCAGTTTTAAGTGATTAAAGTTTTAATCACTTAGGCCCACCCTTAAAGATCCATCTTTTCTTATTGGCTTTTAATAATGTTTAGTTGTCTCAAATGTTTTAATGCTTTTATTTTATATTTTATTTTAATGTAGTTAAGTGATTTACATTTTATTCTAAATACCCAAGCCATTTAGTAAGAATAATAGAAAGACAACATCAAAAGCAAAATAGATGCATCTTGAAAACAACTGACTAATGTGGGAGACAGAAATTTTTCCAATGACAGAATTTAAAATGATCAAATTAAGTTCAAGAAATGATGAATGATTATTGGAATACAATGCTATCAATTCTTCATTTTTGTAATTCATTCCTTTCTTAAACTGGAGTTAATTACCAGGGATTAATTTTGACATAACCTAGGGGTAATAAAACAATTTATAATTGCTTGTTTGTGAATCATGGATCTCATTTGGAATTGCCACTGCTGAGTCCTTATGTAAAAACAGAAACTGGCTTTTTTCTTTTTTCTTTTGGTGTGGGTAATGACACTATTCAAGACCAGGCAAAGGAGAAATTAGTAATGCCTTAGATCACATTTTTATAATTATTTTAAACAGTAATATTGCATATAGAATCTATTTATCTTTCATCTAAAACATATGTTTAGATTTGGAATTAATAATTAATGCCCAATTCCAAATTATGTCTGTAAGTTTTAGCTCACAAAGTCACAAAGATATATTCTACAAAGAATGATATAACGATTTATGATCTCTTCCTTATAGACAAGCTTACAGCTTTCAAGGCAGCTCTGACAGGAAAATTTCCTCAGAACAGCAATGGGTCCCTTGTGGGAAATCTTGGGAGAGGCATTCTTGGGAAGCATAATGTCAGGCATTATAGAACTAATATTTCACTTTTTACACTGGTAGCCATTACTACCAGTATTCAAAAAAAAAAGAAAAAAGAAAAAGAAAAGGATTGACCCTACCAGTACTGTTTGATCATAAGGAATCGGGGAATGGCAGCAGAGCATCTGAAGAAGGGTTGAAAATAACTCAATATTGTCAGAGATGGAATAAAAAATAAATAAACTAACAATAGAACTGAATGTATTCCAATAAGGTAGGGGGAAGAATCAGAGAGACTGAAGCTTCGGGGATAAGGTCTCAAGATAGAAGTAGAAGGGATTAGGCAGACTGTATAGTAATCCAACATGAGTGGATACACTAGAATAATGTAGGATAAAGTGGTACCAGAAAATGAAGAACGAGAGAATTCACAAAGGATTTTGCCATTATTAATTCCAGCTATCTTTACCAAAACATAATTTTATCCATTGACTCACTTTTTTTCTTTTAAAGGTGAAGTAAATAAAAATACACCAACTAACTTGCAGGATTTCTACGTCCGTAATTAAAAGAATACTCTTTCACTTACCTGCCTAGTGTCCCACTGGGAATATGATGAAGAGGAGTCAGCTTTATGTGATGGTGTGGAGGTTCTGTGAGCAGGAGATACAGCTTTCTCTTCAGAACTCATTACTGCAGCTAAATTCTATAGGCCTCCTTTCACAGATTTAACACCACATTCCGTTCAGTTTTCCATGAAAAGAGGAAGTCAAGTGATTTTCAGCATTTCTCCCAGAGCCTTTTCTTTACATAGGCAGGTCAAATTAATGTAAAAGGCATCCAAACCAAATCTTGAAGGAGAAAGGAAAAGAGACAGTGATGGTATACTATATATTCGTGAATTAGCATGAATTAAAATGTCAACAGAAAAACAGGTCTCTTAGGTTCCATCTATCAGACCTACGAAAAAACATTTAATCTCAGTAAATAAATTGCAGTTTCTAGTCTTCAGAATAATTACTACTTTTTTCAACAACATAATTTCTCCTCAAATGATATTGATTACTCTATTCCAATGATTTCCCAGGTGAGACATCATAATACCTTGCAAATGAATTGTTAAAATCTGTCTTCTCTACTCTATCCCATTTCAGCTTTATTTCTTTAGAAACACATATATTGTAAATGTATAACAAGTGTCATTCATAGAACAGGTTAGAAGTCAAATAGTTACAGTAATCATAGCATATTTATTTTCTCCACAAACACCCCATTGTTACCAACAAACAGCCATTTGCAGCATGTTCTCAATAACTTTGGAAAAAATAGACACAACTGCCTGTGAGATGTATATGTATATGTACTGTATATGTATGTATACATATATGCATATGTTTCGCCTTTATTATTTTTTGTGATAAGCACATCCAAGATGCCTTCCTCCTCCTATTTTCCACACAACAACAATGTGAGGAGGATTGGGCTGAGAGAGGTGACTGGCACAAAATCACCCAACTGGCTTTCATAGCTAAGGAAGGGCTTGAACTCACAGTCTCCCACTTTCTAGCCTGGTGGTGCTTTAACCCACTAAACTAAACTGACTCCCAGTAACAAAATATGTATGCTATGGACCATTTTCATCTTTACATGGTATACTATTCAATATTTATCAGGGAAATACTAAGTATGCAATACTATTTTTTTCTTATATTAGCTTTGTTGTTTGCAATAAACACATGTACAAATGCCTTTGAGCCACACTTTTCTAAAAAAAAAAAAAAGCATTCAAATAGTATCTGCACTAATTTGAGAAAGATCAAAGCATTCTGCAGTTTCAATTAATTCAACCATGATTTGCTTTATTTTCACTTCCTCTTATAATCTTATATATTCAAAGTAATGTATAACAGAAGAAAATAAGAGTTAGCAACTTCACAAATTGCTATGAAAGAAATGAACAGAGATATTTTAGCTGATGTCAGTTTTAAGTCACCTCAACTCCCCAAAGAGATAGTTAATATTCTGGAAGTATTTTACAAATTTAAAAACCCTAAACAAATGAAAAAAAATATTTTAAAAATATATGTGAAGAATACATAGTAAAATAAATACAGGCATCATATATTGCTGTTAAATGCTGCAAATGAGATGCAAAAGGAAGAACAGTTAACTGTTCTGACATATTTATGTTCTTAGTTCATATACCACAAAGTGTCTCTGACTAAGTCATATATTGGTCTCAGTTACATAGTGTTTAAATTTACTATGTCAATATTAGCATACCTCTTAAGAAGAAACACAAAAAAGTTTTCTCTAGCTTTCTATCAATAACTATACTCCTATTTTATTTCAGAATTATCCTAAGTTAAAGCTACAGACATTAAAATTCAAAAAACAAAGATTCCAAAGTATCTGGAATTATATCTCTTCTATAGCTCACCTTACCACTAAGCTTTGTCCTCGTCTCCACTTCTTTATTCACAATTATAACTTTGGAATAATCTGTATTTTCAGACTGCAAAGGATAGAAAAGTATGTCAAATAAATAAACAAACAAGTAGGCTTATTTTAAACCATTTTCAGAGCTATGCTCTTCAAAACTGACAGAAAATAGTAAGTTAACAGTAATAGGATGAATAAATAAATAAATAATAAAAAACAAGATCTAAATATTATATGAAACAAATTAACAGATAACAGATAATCAGAGTTGGAAGGGATCTTGTAGGTCCAACCCCCCGCCCAAGCGGGAGACCCTATACCATTTCTGACAAATGGCAGTCCAATCACGAAAGTCTCAAGTAATGGCGCTCCCACAACTTCCAAGGGCAAGCTGTTCCATTGGTTGATTGTTCTCACTGTCAGAAAGTCTCTCCTTATTTCCAGGTTAAATCTCTCCTTGTTCAGTTTCCATCCATTATTCCTTGTCTGGCCTACAGGCGCTTTAGAAAATAACTTGACTCCTTCCTCCCTGTGGCAACCCCTCAAATATTGGAAGACTGCTATCATGTCTCCCCTGGTCCTTCTCTTTACTAGATTAGCCAAGCCCAGTTCCTGCAACCGTTCATTGTATGTTTTAGCCTCCAGTCCCCTAATCATCCTGGTTGCTCTTCTCTGTACTTTTTAGAGTCTCAACATCTTTTTTATAATGTGGTGACCAAAACTGGATGCAGTACTCTAGGTGTGGTCTTACTAAGGCTTTATAGAGTGGCATTAGTACTTCCCTTGATCTTGACTGTATCCCTTTGTTAATACAACTTAGGATTGCATTAGCTTTTTTGGCGGCGGCTGCACACTGCTGGCTCATATTTAGCTGGTTGTCCACTAAGACTCCAAGATCCCTCTCACAGTTACTGCTATTGAGCCTGGTTTCACCCAGTCTATATGTGTACTTCTGGTTTTTCTTGCCTAAGTGTAGGACTTTACTTTTCTCTATATTGAATTTCATTTTATTAGATATGGCCCAGTGTTCTAGTCTGTCAAGATCCATCTGGATCTCGAGCCTATCTTCTCGGGTGTTAGCTATTCCTGCCAGCTTAGTATCATCTGCAAATTTGGTAAGTTCCCCTTCTATTCCCTCATCTAAGTCGTTAATGAAGATATTGAAGACTACTGGGCCTAAGACGGAACTTTGTGGAACCCCACTGCTTACTTCCCTCCATGTAGACTTAGACCTATTAAGGACTACTTGTTGAGTACGGTTTGCCAGCCAGTTGCGAATCCATCTAGTGGTGGTGCTATCTATTCCACTTTTTTCTAGCTTACTAAGAAGTAGGTTGTGGTCTACTTTGTCGAATGCCTTGCTGAAATCTAAATATATTATATCCACAGCATTTTGCTTGTCTACTAATTTAGTCACTGTGTTGAAGAATGAAATAAGATTGGTTTGGCATGATCTGTTTTTAACAAACCTGTGCTGAGTACTAGTTATTACTTTACTTGTTTCTAGTTGTTGGCAGATCTGTTTTTTTTATTATCTTTTTTAGTATCTTCTCGGGTATTGATGTTAGGCTGGTTGGTCTATAGTTTCCTGGGTCTGTTTTTTCCCCCTTTTTTGAAGATGGGAACCACATCAGCTCTTTTCTAGCCCTCTGGTAGTTCCCCGGTGCTCCAGGATTTTTGAAAGATATGGTGCAGTGGTTCTGAGATGACCTCTGCCAGCTCCTTTAAAACTCTGGGATGTAATCCATCAGGCCCCGGTGATTTGTTTTCATCAAGATCAGACAAGTGTTCTCTTACTATTTTTTTTGCTTATTTTAACTTTTATTTCTGGTCTGTCTTTCACAGTTATGTTTTTGGTGGGTTGAGCTATAGTTTCTTTTTGCATGAAGACGGATGCAAAGAATGAGTTAAGCAGTTCTGCTTTTTCTCTGTTGTCTGTTACTTCCTTGCCATCTTCTCTCTTTAGTGGACCAATTGTTTCCTTGATTTTTTTCTTGTTATTTATATGTTGGAAGAAACTTTTTTTATTATCTTTGACTTTTGTTGCAAGTCTTTGTTCGTTCTGAGTCTTTGCTATCCTGACTTCGTCTTTGCACATTCTGGCTATCTGCTGATATTCTGCCTTAGCTGTATGTCCTTCTTTCCGTTTTTTGTACTTGTCCTTTTTTTCTTTCAATTTGCCAGAGAGATCTTTGTGCAGCCATGCTGGTTTCTTCTTGGATTTCTTGTTTTTCTTTCTCAGTGGTATTGTGCTGGTCTGGGCTTCTATGGTCATACTTTTTAGAGTTTCCCAAGATTCTTGAGTTGTTTTCCCCTTTAGGATTTTCATCCATGGAATCTTTCCCAAGTTCTCCCTGAGTTTATTGAAATCAGCTCTTTTAAAATCCAAGACTCTGGTGTCATTATGTTCTGTTGCTTGTGTTTGTGTTATGTTGAATTCTAGTATGACATGGTCACTCTCACCCAAGGTTCCTGCAGTTTCAACTCCCTCTATCACTTCTTCTGTGTTTGTAAGAATTAAGTCCAGTATGGCTATCCCTCTAGTTTCACCCTCTACCTTTTGGACAACAAAATTGTCAGCTAGGTTGGTTAGGAACTTATTCGATTTCTCACTTGGTGCAGAATTAGTTTTCCAATTGATATCAGGATAATTGAAGTCTCCCATTACTATTGTTGTGTGTTTCCTGCATATGTTTGTTAGTTGGCTGGCAAAAAGGACATCTATTTTTTCTGCTTGATTGGGTGGCCTATAATATACACCTATGGCCATGTCATTATTTTCTTCTTTTATATTGACCCATATGCATTCTAGGAGGTTTTCATCATTGGTTTCATGCATTTCTGTAGCAATATAGTGGTCCTTCACATACAGTGCAACTCCACCTCCTCTTTTATGGAGTCTGGGTTTTTTTTTTAATAGTTTATATCCTTCTACCAGTATGTTCCAATCATGGGTTTCATCCCACCAAGTTTCTGTTATTCCAACTATATCATATTTACCTTCCTGTATTCGTAGTTCGAGTTCACCCTGTTTGTTCCCCAGACTTTGTGCATTTGTATATAGGCACTTGAGATCTTTATGTCTGACACTGTGTTTACTGTCTACATAACCTGTGTTGTGCCTGCTTGTCCCTACTTTCTTGCCATCTGTTTGATTAGTACACATGGTATGGCACTCACTATTAAATGCTTGGTTTTGGTTGGCATTAATTCTTTATGAAGCTTTGCTGCCAACTTAGGAAATCAAGAAGAGTTTCAAGAAGAGTTGAAGAGTTTCATCTAAATGTTACTGAAAAAACCATAAATTAAAACATTATTTGAAAAGATTTGAACCATGATTGAATTGTCAGTTGTAAAAAGACAAAACAATAGGGGGTAAAAGACAGAATATGAAAGTCATAGGCTTATG